TCTGACCAGTATCTATAGCGAGCACTAATTCCACGTTGAATTTTCTCGATGATAATTGCACTGCGAAGCTCCAGACGTAATCTCACTGCTCTCTTTGCTTTGCGAAGTCGGCTGTAGGCTCGCAGAATGCGTTCAATCATAGAAAGCGCTCGGTCTGCAGTCTCCTCGTGAGTGCGGTGTAGAGCTCGACGGCGCTTGGCTTCTCGGCGCGCTGCATTTTGAAGCCGAGCAGCTGCTCTATGTCTCACTTGAAGCGAGAGTAGATTGTACCACGCTAGCTGACCGAATTTTCGCTCAAAGAAACCGCGCCAGCACTTCTGTAGAACTACCGCTGCCGTGAAGCAGTGAGTTTCTCCCTCTCGGTTGTGTTGCTCATCACTGCGTCCCATCAGACGATCTATGACGCGCCCAGCTTCTCGGCAACGATTTATGAAGCCATTGCCGAGGCAGTAGCAAGTTTTGCGTTTGTTCAGGACCTGGTAATCTTTTTAGGAAAGTATCCGCGCTTGCTGCAATAGACGTTTTTAGATTTTTAGCTGGACCGCCCAAATATGGTCGCGCGGCTTGGGCAAAGAAAGTTAGACCCACCCTTAGCATTCTTTGGCCGCCAGCCGACTTACTGGGGCAAACGAGCCTATATTGAATTTCGTCGATCCGTTTCCAAGATGCAAGATCAACCTGGCGACTGTCGGCAGGAGCGCGCTGAGCGCGTCTGATGCGTTTTCGCTAGTACTACCCGTAGCACCGCGAAAATGCGGAGATGCGGGTGTGCACCGCTAAGTCGAACCTCGGGAATCACATAGACGACACACCTGCGAAAACGAGACATCCTGGGGATTGCGTAGCGGCTCAAACGAGTGGTTTTAGGAACTGCAGTCGGCGACGTCGTCGCCCCCCGACCCGATTTTGATCCCATTCGAGCACACGGAGCATCAGGGATCGTTCGTCATCGAGGCAGCAATGCTGAATGCTTCATTTCGAGCGCCAGTCCGCTGCATCGGCTGCGCGGCGTTCGGGCGTTTCGAAGCGGAACGTCGTCCGTCTCCCTGCGGCGCCGCCAGCCGGCTGAGGATTCGGCCGACGCTGCTGACGACGGCTCCGACGGCGAGCTCGAAGACGGCGCCGACGACCCATGACTCCCTGGTGCCCGCCAGGCCGCAGCTACCGACGAGTGTGGGTGTGGAGGCCGACCCCGAGTAAAATCCCGCATGGGGGTCGGGTTTGTAAAATTCGACTGGGTCCGGCGGGGGCGTACTTGGGGAGGCGTCGGGCGACCCCCCCGAGGTCCCCAGGGAGCTCCTAGCACTTATTTTCTGGGTCGGTCGGTTGCTGGTCGCCGCCGCCGCCGCCGCCACCGCCGCCGCCGCCGCCGCCGTCGTCGTCGTCACGCGCGCGGGGGAGATTCGAACCCAAGTCAGCCGCGGGGCGACTACAGAGGGATGATATGCCCCATGTCAGCTGTCACGGTATATAAACCCAGGGCTGCAAAAATCGAGTGGGACGCGCCCCGCAGTCGCAGTGATCGACAGTCTCGCCGCAGGACGCCGCCAGCAGGACTTTTTGCGCTCCCGTCGCTGTCCGGCGCAGCACGCGCGCTTTCCGTGCACCACCTAGCGCAAAACGGCGCGGTGCCGGCGCATCACATCATCATTATCCGTCGGTCGAAACGATGCAGTTTTGTACGATTTCAATAAAATTTCGATTCCTACTTCAATAAATTAACCCAAACGCGTTTGCTTGACCCCTGGGTCGGCGCAATTAATTCACGGGCCGCGCTGAGCTTACGGAAATTCCGTTTAAGAAACTGTCTTAAAGCGGGTCGAAACTAGGTGCGGAACACGACGATCGCGAGCGCGAGTCCGGAGTCCACGTCGAGCCAGAATAGGCGGAATTGGCAGAATTGGCAGAATAGGCGGAATTGACGAGCTCGAACGATGATCTCCCGGGCCACGGAGGGGGCAGAATGGGCAGAATCGGCAGAATAGGCAGAATTGGCAGAATTCGCAGCAGCGATGACGAGCGCGAGTCCGGAGTCCACGTCGAGCCAGAATAGGCGGAATTGGCAGAATTGGCAGAATAGGCGGAATTGATGGATGATCTCCCGGGCCACGGTGGAGGCAGAATTGGCGGAATTGGCGGAATAGGCGGAATTGACGAAATCGATCGATGATCTCCCGGGCCGCGGAGGAGGCAGAATGGGCGGAATAGGCGGAATAGGCGGAATAGGCGGAATTGATGGATGAACTCTCGGGCCACGGAAGAGACAGAAGAGACGGAATAGACGGAAATGACTGGATCTGGCTGACACGCGCGTGGCAGCCCACGGCTCTGAACGCAGCCCACTGTCCGTCGAGGCGCACGTAACCCTAACCACCCACCCACCCATGCCGTAACCCTTGAGGCGAGACCCTAACCCTCGAGGGGCGGCAGCTTTGAGATCCGCACATCCAGCCTCGATCCAGCTCCGATTCGGCCTCGATCCAGCCCATTCCGCCGATTCCGCCTATTCTACCTGTTCTGCCTATTCTGCCTATTCTGCCTACTCGGTGCCCCAAGTCATGAGAGCTCACATAAATCTCCATGAGCACAAGCGACAGAACAGGCAGAATAGGCGGAATAGGCGGAATAGGCAGAATCGACGAACCCATCGTGGCTGCGCGTGGGTGCCTGGATACAAGACGTCAAGTTGATGTTCAACATTATTTTTATTGAAGTAAAGACGGGACCGAATTCGGCCTCGCCCGGCGACACGAAGCGGGAAGGAAACCGGAATGGAGGCGGGACGAGGCAGGACGAGGCAGGACGAGGCAGAATTCCGGCTCCGAAAATGGAGGCCGAATCGCGGTCCGCGGACGTCAATTCCGTCCGATTCCGCCACCATTCCGCCTTGATTACAGTGTTCCGAGAGGCGGAATCGAAGGCGGAATCGAGGCGGAATCAAGGCAGATTCCGCCTCGACTCACCTGAACGGTTCAGACTCCTAGGGAGCCCTAGGGGGTCCGTTGGCCTGCCGTTGCCAGTGGCCCCCCCGTCAAAGAAGTGGCTAAAACGCGCCCGACCCAACCCCATGTTGAAGTTCAAGCTGAACACGCAGCCCTATGTTAAAGTGACCTGTGGCCACCCACAGCCGCCGCGAGGCAGTGAGTGGGTCGCAAGGCTTCACGAGGAGCGCACACGAGGAGTCAGGAGAATTGATGAAGCAGCTTCTCCGGTGATATTGGCCGCCATAACGGGCCGCAAAAGTGGTTTTATGTTGATCCTTTGCAACTGAAGCGCAAAGTGGGGTTGTTGGGACTAGTAGGTTGGGCCTTTGTGGCGAGCCGACAATTAGGAAGGCAAGGACTGGCAGTCACACGGGTATGTCGCTGTAGTTTGGGTGTCTGCCCAAAGGGAATACAGGCTGGCGGGAAGCTGAGTGAGCGTTTTTGGGCTAAGCCGCGATCAGTTCCGGTCGTGTGCGCATGCAGCGAAGAGCCTGATTGCGAATGGAATCTCATTTGTGAGGACAAACTCTTTTGGCGAATAGGACGATGTCGTGTTTTAACAACCTTGCTGAAAGCCTCATGGCTGGCTGGGGCCAATCCCCTTAAGGGACCCCCCCCGGTGCACATCTCGAGAAGCTTTTCTATACAAGCTTTTATGAAGTTGCGGTTGATGTTGTTGGCTCTGGATTATTTAGTATTTTTGGCGAGTTTGTTTTGACACGTTTTGCTTGTAACTTCTTCACAGCTACCTGTGTGTATTTATTTTGTTGTCGATTTGAAACGAAAGGTATCAGATAAACCCATTCAAAATTAAGTGCCATTCCTATTCAGGTCTTGTGCGCTTCTCTTTCCGCAGGGACGCACAACACACATGAAACACATAGCTCAGGGCGTCAAGATCAGCTTTGTGCATCTCCGCAAACCAGGTGAGGTGGTTCGCCACAACGAGCCTAAGGGCTCGCCAGCAATAGACTTTGTCATGTTTGGGGTGGTATTCTTCTTCAATGCTATTCTCTGGGTCTTCGGCGATCTCGTACCTGAGTCACGTGATTTATTGGTCTCTTCGAAATTTTATGCATGACGACTTGGTTAATCCAACTCAAACGAGGGCCCCGATGTCATAAGTACTAAAATGTAATCGTGCTCAGATCCATACGCTTCAAGAAACGCCTCGATCGAGGGCACAGCGTCTGCTAACCTCGCACAGCAATCCTTCATCGTGCCTTCGTTCTCACGTGCATCTAACTTGGCACCAGCCTTGAGCTTGGTGCGTTTGAAGAGTATAACGGGCACGGGCGGAGAGTATCGCTCACCTGATTAGTAAAGAACGGCGTCGCAAAAACGAATCAAACTGTGGCACCAAACTAAAAAATCTCAGTTTTTGACAAAGAGAAACTCTGAACGAGATTCAAGCACAAACTCTGTAGGGCACGTTTGCGCTTCTCGGCATATTGTTGTTCTTTGGATTGGGACGGCCTCTCATACGGTGCACCTATTAACGCTATGTGAAAATCAGGATGGTATTATAGAATAGCTTTAATAAAGCGCATAGCATTCTCGAAGGTATACTATCGAGTTGTCTTAATGACCAACAACACCGAGTAAATTGTAATTGGTAGACTGTGGAGTGCACATCCTAGTCTCTTCCATGTAGACCAATTCACCTCACGCTCGATGACCTCTTCCAATGACTTGAGGCGCTCTGGCCCATTAGGTGGAGTTGCAATAATAAGCTTCCGCACGCGAAGAAGAACCTAACATCTCCAGCCCCTGATCTCAAGCTCATTAATATGTAGAACGATCCAAATTGGTCATCCGATAAACGCTGACTAACACCGGCAATGCCCAATCTGGCTTACTCAAAAATTCAGCACCAGGCGAGGGCTTGTTGCCAATAGCGGTCTCGCGCCGCAGGTAATCAAAGACGAGATATAGCTGTGTAACAAGCTGCATCCTTAGAACCTGGAGGAAATAGCATCATGGAAGAGTCTTCATGGAGAGGGCACAGCTGAAGTTACGGGGTCTCGAAGTTGGATCCGGAGCAGCCGCGAGTTAGTAAGATATTTAGCACCCATGGTTACGATGCCAAGCTGCATAGTTCCCGAAATGTCAGCGCTTTGTATTGATGACCCGCATGCATTTTTTTTTGCACTTCTAACTCGTTCAGCAAGCCACGTGTCGCGTGCCCTTTTGACGCTGTCCTCTGATGGCGCTGTGTTTTCGAGTGCCGCACAACACGCGTCCATATTTGCCAACAAGGCCCTACGTTCCTCGACACCCCGAAGCGCAAGATTTGGATCACTGAGCCATTTTTGAACAGCCCAAAAAGCGGAGTACCTACGCCGAGATGTTGATGGATCGAAATGTGCTGCACCGGTACGCCGCAAATGAGCGTTGCGTAGTCATGTGCCAGCACGTTCTCGTTCGTTGCCTGGAGAAGGTGGTTCGACATTAAGGACTGTCTTCGATCATCTATAGCTTTAATATTGAGAAGCTCTGGAGGGATACCGTTTCAGTACAGTCCATAGAGAGCGCCATTTCCTCAGCCTGAGCGGTTTCGAAACCGGCTTTGTCCTCGAAAGTAGTTACGTTCTCTAAGTGGACGTCGCCTACAGATCGTGGTATCACTAAAAAATAGCGGCATGCACTCTGGAGAGCAAGTAATGACGTGCCTTTGAGGTTCACTGCACTTTTCTCAGAGATAGGCCAGGCAGCTGCAAGAAACAGGAGCACCTGCACGATTGAAATAAGGACAAAAAGAACGCATCTGCTAGACGTACTCTCCCACATAGTTCTGCGTGACGAGTACGAGACAGCCGACGAAGGAGCGAATTACAAAGTCGCAGCAACACAAATTTCCCTCGCTGGAATAGAGATGCGTGCGTCAGGGCGTCGCAGGAGCGCTCTACCTGGGCCCACCAGAACTCACAACCCGCTACGCTCGAAGCATCCAACGCATCTTCTAGCAGTTTGAAAGGCACACACAGCACCACAACCGAACAGTCTCCAAAACGGGTATATCGATCTACTTCGCACAGTGCGTAAGCTACACACACATCCACTAATTGCGCCGCATACGCCTCGTCGCGCCGCTCCAAAGCCAGTGACAGCAACTCACGCGCTGCTACTTCGACCACATCGCTAGGGTCCGAATCGCCGCATTGTTCCAGCACGGCTGAGCAAACCTGAGATCCACTTGAGGCTGCGGACCTGCCTTGCCGCACGCAAGTATCCAACGCCTCCGTAATACGCTCAAGCGCTGGCATCTTGCGACTCGGCAGGTTATTCCGCTGCGATCTGTGACATGTAGGGCGAAACTAAAGGACTTGAATCATGGAGCGTGACTCGTGCGGGATCACAGTGGATGAGACCGGAGGCCTGTCGGGCTTTTCGCTCCCTGACAACGTTCCGAAGGTACAGTCCGAGTTTTTGACTCTTGAATTCTCCATGCGGTCGGGAACTAACGCAATACGCTATCAAGATCATATTGGCCTCCAGACTGAATTTGCCCCAGAAATCAAGGCAACTGCTGATGTAGAAGCATTGCTGCTGGAAGGCTCGGAACACATCCACATGTTGTACACGTTTCGTAGTATTGGACGTGCAGTACCCATGGTGAATGATCAGGGCCGGCAGAGCAAGAACGAAATAAACTTACAGACATTCTATGCGCTCCAGCCGCAAATTGCCAAGATAAGAAGACTCATGGATTTTCAAGAGAAAGGAGTCGCTATAATCGAGCGATGTATGCGCAGCCTAGTAACTAGGGAAGCACGTGAACGTATTGTTCCTGATGGATATTATGACGCGATAACGAAAGTCGTCGATCTCCTCCAAAAACTAGATAATTTGAAAGATATGAAAGCTAGCCTTACTACTGACTTCTCGCGGTACAATCGTGTCGGGCTCAGTGTGTCTAATCACTTTCCCTATGAATAATTCGAATTTACAGGTGTTGCAAGCGTTGAGGGCCGAGCTGCCAAACGGAGATCAACTGGCGCAAGAGAAGCACAAGTTGCAGCTATTTCTATCAAATTTCCAATATCCTAAAAGTCTGATATTCCACAATCTTCGTGACGCCCTGAAAAAAATTCCTGGCCACGAGGAGATCCTGATAGAAATGCTGCAGCAGAATGTAGATTTCATCGAAAACGAGCGTCACATGATGCCTGATGAAAAGTACAGGCTGATTCGATCTCTCCCACACCTGATGTTGCTCATCGATGGTGATGTAGAGGAGCCCGGCCAATCCAGTGGCGCAGGTGGGAAAGTGATGAATGTCTTCAAAGACAAGCGCATTCGTCTTGCTCCGCTACAAGCCATTTTTAAATCATATCCGGTCGGTCGTTGCGATTGCCCGATCTAAGGTAACCCTGAAAGTAGGTGGTGCCCGAATACGGGGATATGTCCATGACAATGCTTGTCATTCTGAAGCGCGCACCGCATTGGGACTCATCTATGGAGAAGAGCTGGGGTAGTGAGCCCGATCGAAAGGTGGTTTCACGATATTCGTTGCTCACTCATTGGTCAGAAATCAAATCTCACCATGCGGAGTATCTGTCAAAGTTCTCAAAAACAACCATAGAACTCGCAGCCTACGACTTCAAGAAGGCACTAACCGCAACAAAGTATGCAACGTTTATCTCGAAGCTCATAGTGGATGGATTTAAGTTGCTGCAGTCGTGGACATGTAAGGTCCTCGAGGCATACCACTGGAAGCTGACACATCCGTACGGTGAAAAATTGAGAGCCAAGCTCGACGGGCCAGCAGTGTACTGACAAGTTTAGTTTGATCTGACTCAGAAGGGTATTATTTAGGGAAAGCTGGAGCAACGCCGTACGAAGCTGCAGTGAAATTTAATTATTCACCGCGCGAGCTTGGTGTTGTTGTTGATGTGATATCAATGATCAAGAGCTTAAGTGCAATTCTCACAAATGTTGAGTCTGACGTTGCTCCATATGTGCGCTTGCACGTCCACCATGAGGTGCAACAGTTTGTTGCTGGTGAATTGATACCGCCGCTGCACCGCGCACAAAAACGCAAGCGGGCCATTATAGTCCCATTATTGAAGCTTCGTCGCTTGGTGGCTGATTGGCCCGACTCGATGGAGCCAGTAGATGACTACACTCGGTATTCCAGGCAAGACGGACGCGTTGAAGCAGTACACCCCGTGCGTGTGGTGGGGCCTAGCCCGACGCAACTACAGTTAATGCGCACGATGGTTCGCAGTATGTTCGACCAGCGAAATCAACTTAAGGTTGGCATGTTTTCCAAAAGGGATCTCGAGCGAGAGGATCTTCAGCTGATGGAGACTTTCTATAATGAAAGCCTGTGCTTCCAATATATTTTGAATCACGCGGTCACTCTCCGTGCGAATTCAGATCTTGCTGATTTGTGGTATCGCGAGTTTTATCTCGAGCTTTCTGGGCAAATTCAATTTGCAATTGAGCTGTCGTTTCCTTGGATTTTGACAGAACATGTCATTACCAATCAAGCTAAATCCATGCCTCTAGTTGAAAATATTTTGTATACTATGGATGTCTACAATGATGCAGCCCACCGATCCCTCTATGTCCTCAGCCAACGATTTTTATATGATGAAATTGAAGCTGAAGTAAACCTCGTCTTTGACCAGTTGATATTTCTGATATCTGACCATGTATATTCCTATTACAAGGATAATATTGGATCGAGAACCATTGATGGCCCCTATCGGAACGTCG